GTTTTAGTCCTACCATTTCTTTCAACAGTTCGTTGCAATATCCGGACTGGTATCCCACCCAAGTCAAAGTCTTCCTTCAAAGATCTAGTTAGGAACCTCAAATCTGTCTCTGAGAGCTGGGTTTTTCCGCTCATAAATGCAATAAAAGTTGGTGGTCTAGCTTTCACCTGAGTGAAATACTTGATCTTGGGTTGAGCCGCCTGGTCTTTCCAAGAATGTCTGCTCATGACCTGCCACACATTGTCAATCAACATTTATTTACCCAAACAAATATAACTTGGCCTGATGTGGCACATTTAGGGAAAATGTATACCTTGCGTAGCCAACGGTTAAGACGAGCTGTTGGCAATCTCAAACACCATTTTTCATATGTTTCAACAACCTGACGCATGACAGCTATCCGACCCTTTCCTTCTAGTGCTGAAACAAATACAACAGGTATTCCTGTGACCTGCAAATAAATTGCCTTAATGATGAATCAAATTCTACAACGGAAATTATACAAGCAATTCTCCCGAAGGTCATCTACCAATTTTTAAAGTGATAACATGCATCAAAAGATAGGAAAAGGAAACATAAGACATACAGTACAAAATCATATGTCCCAACTATCAGCTAGAGTAACTACATTGTTATCAGTGCATAAAATTTGTTCTCTAAATAAGAATTTTTGTTCAAGGAGAAAATGAAGTTGTCCTTGAATAGCAGACTCATATATCAAGTGGTAATACCCAACTAAGTATAGTAAATTCCGATTCTGCTTCACTTCTTTTTAAGAAAGAAAGAGAAGGAACTACCAAAGGTTAATCCCGTGATTACTTGTCCACACATGTTTCCTTACATAGTCTATTTATGCAATCACAAGAAATCTCCCATTCCTAAATGTCTTGAGACACTCAGTGACTTACCATAGAAGCGATATCCTTCTAAAAAAAAAATTAAAAAAAATATTAGGGATATACAAATGTCATGAATTCACTTATATTACGGAATGGAGCATGCTGCCAGGTTAGTGTTATGTCTGTGTTTTGCATATCTTATTCATTTCTATTTGTTGTGTTCAAGATCTCCAACTATTGCTGCAGTCTTACTGATTAAGGAACATTTAACATTACCTAAGTTGCTCGGACTCGGGTGCGGGTATCCGATACGGTGACGGATCCAAGTATCGGATTCGGCAAAATCTAAATTTTAAGATTCGGGGGTACGGATCCGGATATGGGTGCGGGGATTCGGCTAATAAAAAATAGAGCTATAAAAATATTGTAAATTTTGAGAGATATTCTGTGAAAAACTTACATGAATATTGTAGAATTCAATCTTTCATTCTCCAAGATGGACATTATTCTTTCATTCTCCTAAATCTGTTTTATTTTTGAATTTGAGAAATCAAAATCTCAATTTTTCTCCCAAGTTTGTCAATGGACTCCGGTCAAAGTGTCCGATGTCAGTTGACCGAATCCGGGACGTATCCCGCTCCCGTCCCGGTCTCGTATCGGGACGGGGACGGCACCAAAATCGAAGAGTCCGCGCAACTTAGAACATTACTACATGGATACACCGATCTGTTACTATATGTTATGTTATAGGCAAGGCTGACATAAGTATCTCTTTCTAAAAACTTACTATCATTATCATGATTCAAGTGCCCTAAAAATTTGTTGAAATGGAAGTGATTTGATCTATTACACAAGGAAGATCCTTCAGAAAGAGAAGTAAAGCCCTCTATGAAATCTTTTTTCTGATAATTTTCTCACCTCTATAGGCCTTGCTGTTCTAACAATGATCAGTGATATTCTGCACTGCGCTAAATTTGCCGATGACTTAGTTTCTTCCGATTGTATTCTAAACCATATATGTTTGTTTGCCTTGATGTCTCCTCACTTAAACATTTGCATCTCACCCAAGCTATTCTTATTTTTTTCAACATTGAGCTCAGATCTCAGAACCTTCCTGCTATGTTCACTTCATTCTTTTCCTGTTGCATGTTCTCATTTTTTTTGGTGTCATTTGATTTGAAAAGGAAACTGACTGGTGTAAGGAAATTTTTTTCTGGTGTTGACATAGTTGATTATAACTGAGTAGTTTCACTTACCCAAAGATAAGTTCATTCAGATGAAAGATTGAGATATTTAGTCTTTAATGATTATAAATAGTACAATTGTATGCTTTTTGGTTGCCTAGCATGCACAATATTCACAGGCATTGCATCCTCTTTGATCAATAAGAGCAGGGACGAAGCCACATGGCCATAAGGGTGGTCAATTGACCACCCTTACTGTGCATATAGGTAAAATATTATATTTTAGAGGTATATAACACATGTGGGATTATACTATGTTGTTGTTGTTGAGGTATATAACACATATTGAACACCTTTTGTTGGGAATTTTTTTCACTTCTTTCAAATTTGAACGCCCTTGGGGAAATTCCTAGCTTTTCTAGTGAGTAAGAGTACACCTGCATTTATGCTTCAAAGAATAATACTAAGTTTAAGATTAGTTATGATTTTTACAGTTAACTTCTCTTTTGGACAAGCTACTCCAAAGGTATATGCATGAGAAACATTCAAATAAACGGTAGGATAATTGCAGCAAGAGATTATAGTTTTCCACACTGACAAACCTGTGGTATAACTGTCTGAATTTCTGCAGGTACAGCTTCAATTACGCGCTTGTACAATTTGGAATTTTCTTCCCCTCTAAGAAGATCCATCTTATTTACAATCACAACCAGACCACGTCCTTCCTCTACTGCTCGCCTCGCTATAACTACTTCAACATGCTTCATGCTCCGCCTAGCTTTTGCAATCTAATCATTATAAAGGAAAAATATAGAACGGTTGTATGGCAGTTAGAAAAAAAATGTGTGAAACACAGAAATAGAAATTACTCATACCACAAGAGCTTTAAAGGAGGGGGAAAGACAAGGAAAATTTTTGGAGATTATTCATGACTCAGGTAGTGCAGCAACTACACAAATCCCGTTGAATTGTCAGTCCATTAGCAGGCATAGAGCTATATGTTGCATCGCAATTGATACATCTCTGATATTACAGGTGTTGGTTACACTTTTCAGCCAATGTTCTAGGTTGTTGCCCCCAAGCGGATGTTAGATATAGAAACATTGATGCAAGTCATTTCTTCATACAGTGTTTAAACCAGATCCAACAGCTCTCCACTAACCCTTTCAGTCATTCTTATTCAAGCAAGAGATACCAAAGTTAAAATGTTGTCCAGTTCTCAGAAAGAAGACAGAAAAGAAGATTATGGTTCACAGAAATTCTAGTAAAAGCTAAAGCACTGTAATGTTTTCCACATTAAAACTAAATCAAACACACACTGAATCAGCAAAGACAATGAAATGGACTAACCTTCATTGCTGAAACATAAGGGTTGCAAATACTTATAGATCTAGGCCACTTTATTTGTTTAAATATTTTTTATAATGGTTATATCTGGGCCAGCTTGTGCTCACATTGACTATTCCACAGGGTACCTGCTATCTCCCATTAGCATAGGTACCGTAACTTGCACCAAGGCTTAGGCATATAGGAAGAAAGAAATCACCTAGCATTTTTTGTCTCTATTGGGATTTGAACCTTGACCTCCATAGTTTTCACCCAATTCACTGATTAATATGTCACACACTTGGGTGCATCTAAGCCAGTTTATTAGAACTGCAATTTAATTGTTTATCACACAGCAAATACATTAAGTGGGCCAAATTACAACAACAACAACATACCCCAGTATCATCCCACACCGTGGGGTCTGGAGAGGGTAGTGTGTACGCAGACCTTAACCCTACCTTGTGAGGATAGAGAGGTTGTTTCCAATAGACCCTCAACTCAGGAAAAAGTGGGCCAAATTCATGAATCTAAAACAAAAAAAATTGATAATCACAATTACCAAACCTCTTCTGCATCGAGGACCAAAGCAATTATATGTGCTCTCATAAGGTGCTTCCTTGATTGCACAATACTCAAAGATGCTGGGCCCTTGTCCTGTTTTGTCCTTTCCAACCAACCTGCTGTGTCAACCTGAGACAATTATACCCTCACAACATCAGAACTGATCATGCTAATACATAAGGCAATGAGGCATATGTCTTAGTGCCTTGCCTACACTTAAGCACAACTTAAGCTATGCTAAGCGAAACACCCTTCTTGAGCTTTTCTAAGCTTTAGGGCTTAAGTGCGCCTTAAATGAGCCTTTGACAACACTGTTTTGTGTCATTCAATGACACTTTTATTCATCTGACTTATTTCTCGAAACAATTCGTATTACTGGTTGTATGAACTATGAAGGTCAAAGCCGATAGGGATGAATCTTCCCCGTATGCATCTATGCTTGCTGCACAAGATGCTTCTCAGAGATGCAAGGAGTTTGGCATCAACGCACTTCACATTAAGCTTCAAGCCACTGTTGGAAACAAGACTTAAACACCTGGACCTGGTGCTCAGTATGATCTCAGGGCTCTTACCCACTAGGGGCCTAGGAATGAAAATTGGTCATATAGAGGATATGACTCCAGTTCGTACTGATAGCACTTGCAGAAAGGGTGGTAGGGATGATATTTTTTGTAAAAAAAAGAGGAGGAAAAATAAAAGGAATAAGAAGAAGATTAAAAAATTTAAGGAATGAAAAAAAAAGATTAATTTTTTAATGTGATCTCTTTGAGTGCATTCGTTACAATGAAGCTGAAGAAGGTCATGCTAATGGGTTTTACATCTATGAGATTACTCTTCAAAAGAAAAATGTTAGCCAAACTTGAATTGACCTAGTGACAGACAATATTTGCGTCAAAGTTACAGATACTTACCAAATAAATTGTTCTTCCTTGGTACTCAAATTCAGCACGAATGGAATCTCTAGTCAAACCAGCCTCAGGGCCAACCAAAACACGATCTTCTTGCAAGATTGTGTTCAACAAGGTGGACTTTCCAACATTGGGCCGCCCGACAATTGCCAACTGCAATGGCAATTTACACTCCATATCCTCAGAGGAGTCATTCTCCTGGCTCTCATCATCTGAAAGATTACATGTAGAATAGCAAGAAAGATCAGAAGCGAAGTTGATAAGCTCTGCAGGAAAAAAGAAACACTTCTACAAAAGAATGCTGCCGTTGTACCTCTGCAATTGTAGGTATATCTCTCAACATGTGACAGATCTCTGTATAATCACATTAAGGAATATTTTCTAGAAGATACACATCACTTGATTTATGATACACTCTATTTGCAGTTAGCAAAGCATAGAGAGGTCAACCAAATACAACTGTTTCTCATATCATTCTCTACTTCCCGTCCTATCTCCTCTATGTAAACAAAAGAGATATATAACTTAGCTAAAAGAGATAAAATTAGCTTCCCGTCTCACTTATGTAGCTTCTAATACTGTTTGTTTAATCTTTTGAGAACAAATCCAAAATGACATGCTTCTCTGCAGTTTCACTTAAGTAGCTAAAGTTGTTTATTGTAATTGTACCAACCGAAAAATATTATCTTCTTTCTGCACAGTACACCAAACTTCAACTGAGCAATTACATTATCGTAGGCGCAATGAGGGTTGAGTATCACATATTCATGATGTTACTATACTACACCAGTAGCATGGTTCTAGAAGTTACTAGCCATATTGAACTGTTTTCTACAATCCACACAAATCATAGCAGCAACCAGATCCATGCACTCATATTATTGATAGAGATACCGTTAGCAAGGATGTTGAGATTAAAATTCAATTTGACCATGCAAAAGCAAACTAATCTCATAAATAGATAAAGGGAACATTTGAAGAAGCCAAATGAAGATGCGATTCCAAGTCACTACAGAGCACACACTCACTGGCAAGCATAGGGAGATGAAGAGGTAGATGATCAACACATTTATGAGGAAAAAATTCCTCCTCTGAAATAAAACCTTGAAAAGGACAAAAGATTCAGATAAAGGTGGACAATTACCAAGCACCAAAATTCTCTCTGGGGCATGAGTTTCTTACCATTTATGTTTTGGAGCACATATTCTTCAAGTAATGGTCGAAGAGTTTCATGAAGTTCAACCATGCCCAGTCCAGTTTCAGCAGATAAAGCAATGGGATCACCAAATCCTAAGGTATAAGCTTCACCGACAGCAGATGCAAGAGAACCGTCATAGTCATCAAGCGATTCAGCTTTATTCATCACCACAATAGTCTTCATTCCGGGTGCATTCTTCCTCAACCACTTTCCAACATCCAAATCCATAGGCTGCAGTCCGTCTCTAGTCACAATACAAAACGATAGGTAACTATTGCGCCCAGTGAGATTTTAGTAATACAGTATGCAAAGTTTGAGTGTCACAAGCTACCAGCTTTGAGGCGTGTGATTATGTGATTAAATATGCTTTACTTTAGCAAATACCTTTTCAGCGGATTTTCATTCTTTATCTATTAGACAATAAGGAATCTCATCTATTGCAGCCAACTCATGGACCTTTAGAACAATGAATGAAGTTAAATTTCTTTGTGAGATTTACATATTCTTTGTCCTATTCTTCAAAAAAATTCTAACTTTTTTCTTCTTTATAAGTAATTCATTGGAAAAGGAAAAAAGCGTTGCCATAGTTGTCTATCTGATAATCAACAGAGAAGAGAAAAGACAGTATTGAAGAAACCAAGATTTTGTATTTTCACATGCTAAAATTCTTTTCCAATTCAACCTTGCATCAACTAAGAAGAGTGCCAATTGAGATCTAGACAGCACATTTCCAGTCATTTCTGCAGTTCTACGAAGAACAGAACCAGAAGAAGCCTCTGCTTCTAAGCCAGCAGAATCCAACACCTTAAACCTTAAATTGCCCAATTTTGCAACACCTTCTCGTATGTCCCGGGTAACATGGTCAGTAGGAGTGTTGTATACAAGGGCCTCCCTCCTTCGTATCAAACTACAAATCAAAAGCAAATTAACGATTACACAACGGTGACTGAAGGGTTCCCTTGCACTTGGTTACAAATCAAATTCAAATCTCCTTTGCTGTACTTACCGGTTAAACAATGCTGACTTCCCTACATTAGGTCGTCCTATGATTACAACCGTTGGCAGCTTGTTAATATGAATCCGTGTAAAATCAACCAAGTCGTCAGTGGGATGTTTAGCTTGCGGTCGACCATCAGTATGACTAGCAGCAGCTTTAACATTGAAGTCCTCTGGTACATTGTCACAAGCATCATCACCATTTGAAGCAACATTATCTAATACTTCATCATCTGCCCTCTCTTGACCTAACAGAGTGTAGAATTTCGCAACATTCTGAAAGAAAAAATGTTTTGATACTGAAACAGGAGTTCCACCACCAATCTTCGTTGATGGAAATCCTAAAACAGAAAAAGTAGCACCTGGTTCTGATGAGTATCAACTTTAAAATACAAATTCTTTCAAAGCCTAATAAAAGCATTACATAAGCAAATTAGAAAAACAACAATATAACTAGTACACATTGATCCCAAAGTAGTTGTGGTTGGCTATATTTATCTACTCAAATTCCATTTTATTTCAGTACGCAACAAATTAACATTCTAGCAGAATGAACGTTTGGTCTCCTGTGCTGGTTGGCTTCTAACCCTATATGTAATTTTTTAGTTGAAAAGAAGGGAAGAAAAATATTAGGCTGGCCATCTCCAACTATAGGAAAAGCAAAGCCAAGATTCCTAGGCTCAGTCTAAAATTTCTACTAGCTCAGCATACTAATCCCTCTGTTTCACTTTATGTGATGTAGTTTGGAGTACGAGGGCCAAGTTGACTAATTTTTAGTCACAACAGTTAGCAATTCAAAATATTTGCAATAAATTGGAACAGAGCGAGTAGTATTTACTTTGAAACATATACTTAAAGTACCAAAATCAATAGGAACAAACAAAAGATTACCAATAATCTCATTGCAGATGATTTTTTTGTGGAATTGTGAAGCTGAGGCAGCAGCAGTTACTCTGTAGAGGATACTAAAGCTATAGGCTGTTTTCCGTGCAGCTCGAAACCAGGCAGCACAAGACATTCCAAATAAATGAATTAGAAAAACTACTTATAAATAGTTTGAAGCTTTAAGCCGCCATAGCTCTGAGTGAAGCGGAAGCTACAAAGCTGAAGAAGATGCTGTATTTCCTGCTGGGCTAGGCCCAATAAGTTCTTTCGGCCCAAAGAGGATAAGAAATGTAACCAATTTGAAAAAAATGACAAACAAACCATACATTGATAGGAGGCGCATTGTCGTCTTTTTACAAAAATCTAAACCCAATTCTCCCCTTCCTTTTCTTCTCTCCGTCCCTCACTGTTCGATGGCGTCTGTCTCTGTTCTCTCTCTTTGATTTTTTCTTTCTCAACTAACTGCAAAGATAATTTTCAAGGAAAAGAGGTGCTGGAAAATGGAGGAAAAAAAATTATTTAGTTTAAATATATAAAATATTTTGAAGAATAGAGATTGTGGTTTGTCTTTAATCGGTTGACCAGTTTTATGCTTGTGGGCTGCTGTTGTGTCACCATTGATGAGCAGAAGCCATTGCTTTTTGCTGGGTTTGTTTCATGTCTTTTTTACTCCAATAATCTTTGCAGAAAATTATAAAGAATCCAAAATATTCACACTAAATCTAAAGAATCCAAAACTTAATTTCTATGGAGACTATCTAAAATTAAGAAGAGAGAATGATAGAAAGCAAAAAAATTAGAAGACATTCAAATTCCTCAAGCTTCTCTTCATAGAGGGAGAGAGCAGCGTGTAAGGGAAAAATGGGAATTAGGTTTGTCTTTCTGGTGGAAAGACAAAAATATCCATCTCATTTACTCATTGGCGGTATGGTGTTGGGGGGTTTTAAGGAAAATAAATATGCATACAATGCTAGCCTAGTGCGATTATGTAGTATGTTACAGGGGTGTCAATGGTTCGGTTCGGTTCGGCCGGTTATTTTATAAAATTTGTACTATACAAATTTAGACTTTTTGAAACCGTCCCAATCAAATCTGTTCTCTTCGGTATCGGTACGATTTGGTTAATTTTCGGTATTTTCTTAAATATCATATAAAATTCACTAGTAGAAGTAGAATGCAATAACATACATTTGTTTATAAGACTTAGTAAAACTCTCTAGACATTTTTACTGTTTAAAGGGTGATGAATTAAACAAATGAAATATGACTAGAGTATAGATCCATCAACTATTCTACAGCAACTCAAAAGAAACCAAGCAAAGGCAAAGAAAATATAAACATGAGTAAGATATTAATCAAGCTGTGACTCAAGAATAAAGTATATAGAAGATTAAATATTCAAAAAGATAAATCTAAATTATATAAAAGGAAATATATTTAATACATTGTAGTTTGCTACTCATAATCGCTGCAATACTTTGTGTCTTGCTAATAAAGATACTTAATATAACTTAGATAGAAGTAGCATAATAGGTGCCTAAAGAAAAATTTAATGCATTATTATTTTTAAACTTACTAATTAAATATTTGTAAAATTTATTCGGTACGGTTCGATATATTTTAGGTTTATTTTTATAAAATCAAAAACCTACCCTAATTATCGGTGCGGTTATAGATTTATACAAAAACCTATGGTTTCTTAAAAAGAAACCTTAAAATCGATTCGGTTCGGTACGGTTCGGTCGGTTTAGTCGGTTTTCGAATATCCATTGACCCCCCTAGTATGTCAGCAAAACCTATGTATGTTACATATAAAAAAGGCGAGATACATAAAGTAAATCGAGTAAATACCCGAGTGCAACAGATCATATGCGTGAGTTACATTTGTTGTGACGTGTCAAATGAGCCAATTAGTGAACGACACGTGTAATTTATAATAAAATCTTAACACATATATATAATTAACCAAAAAAGAAAACGAATTTAAAGAAGGGAAAAAACTCTTTCCCCTCAGTTTAACAAAAGCAGCG